CTAAATGACGTTCGATGAGTTAAGGAGTTTCTTGGCATTATCCTACAACGATTGCATGTACTATGATCCAAGTCTTCTCGTAAACGTAATTCTATTCGACAGAATTAATCGGAAGCAAGTGGAAAGAAAGGTAGCTCGCGAAGGACATCATTTTTATGCCACGACATTACTTAAAATTTCAGATAACGTCAGATGCTTTCTTCACTTTCCATCATGCCAACACTTTTGAAAAAGACGGTTTTATTGTAGTGGACTATTGCAAATTTGACAATCCAGGAAATTTCGATGATTTGATTTTGGATCACATGCGAAATGGTTCGCTTTGGTCTAAGGTTCATTTTTTGGATATTATACGTAATCAACCTGATGTTGATCACCTTGACAACCCATTCTTGCGGTTACCTTGAATTATGGTATGAAGTGCAGTCACGAGTAAAATATAAACTAGCAAATATAATATTCATTCTTGACTGATTCTCTCCACCAATGTTTCCAGTGGCTCCAGACGACCGCTGATTATTATGAATTAAGCTATCCTGCAAAGCAATCCAAGCACAAGAAAAGAATATTTCTATTTTTCATATTTCAGAACAGCAAGATTGTCCCTTATCTTCATAGAATGATCATTCCTATGAAAGTAAGAGAGGGTAGTAAAGCCGGAGAGGATTTGCTGTCTTCTTGCAAGTTTGCCAATGGATGCAAAGCAATCCTTAAAGAAGATGGCAGTATCCATTGCACAGATGTAAAGATGTGCGATTACTGTAGGTTTCAATAATGCACATTGACTTCCCTTAAATATCAGTCATCTATCTAAATTTAGCATTCGAGTTCCCACGTTACTGTTACGATCTGAACATGAAGGAGTATCGTTACGTCTATGGTGCCAACCTTGGATTTGATTCAGAAGCAAAAATAGGAGTAGGTTTACAAATTTTTACTTATTTTAAAGCACCTTGAAAACTTTTCATAGAAACATTAAGACCTTGTTAGGTTAGTATAAAGGCATTAAACATTCTAATTCCTGCCTAAAGAAAGCCCAATTAGAGATTTTCATGTTCCCAAAATGTGGCCAGCGGCTATAGAATAAATGCTATTAGGTTACTCAGCACAATGAGGCAACATACCCCGACTGTGGGTTGTATCCCATTTAATAACATAATCACTTATTCGTGCTAATGCTTCATGGAATGGAGCACGACTGGAAGAATTTCAGGCAGCGACTGCTGCGAATATTGTGGTTTTGAGCCGCGGGCATTTAGTGTAAAGTTACCTAACTGCAGTAGGTAGAGTAAACTTTGCCCTTATACTCCCGAGCAAGGCGTGTATGTAAGTATGAAGAGACTCGTCTAATGAAGCGCTTTTGCAGGTTGTGAAGGCGGATTTGAAGGACGGAAGCAGCAAGGTGTGGTACAAAGATGCTGTCGATCAAATGTGTGCTGAGCCAATATTTGTAAATAAGCCTAATTATTCGAAAGAGGACGAAGGTATATTTAGAATATTAAAAAACTGCAAATTAGATTTAATGGGCAAGGTTTTTCAGCTTTATGTGCAACTATGAATTTTTAGCTGAATAAAAAGTAATGGGTTGTCGGATAGATACTTGTCGTTTTTTTTGAGACTCAAATTTTTCTGAGAAACCGAAAGATTCAAGCAGACACTAGCAATAGAAAGCAGAAAGCAATAGAATGCAAATTGGTGGAAAGAAGAAGTCTTCCTCTACAAAAAGATTTTGACCTATCAAAAAATTTTAACTCTGTTGACTTCATCAATGTTGAAAGTTTGGAGGAAAAAAAAGCTTAACCGACAACTTATTTAAAAGGTGCTGGAAATTTTAACAAGATACCCAGTGAGATAACTAAATATAATTACAATAAAATCATATTCATTCCCGAAAATAATACCTTATTGTAGGACTACGGTAGATGCACCTGCAGTGATCAGAATAATCATTTTGTCTGAAAAGTGTTTCATTAATATGTAATGACAAACTGACTACGAAACTGTTCGTTGAAGTGAAAATCATGTCCGTTCCTTATGGCAAAGCAATTTCGCCTTGTAGAAGATTAATCAAATATAAATTGTCTTCTCGCCTTTTTCATGTACACTTAGTAAGAACCTATCGTACGCTATTTTTTTAGCATCAATTAGATAAATAAGGAAACGATCGTGTATCGTACATGCACTTAACCATACAAATGGTCCTATCGTGGAATGCCTATAATTCTAGTAACGGCGTAGCCAACTACACTTCAGTAGCATTTTTGAGAACTTCAACTTTCAAATATATACAATGCGCTGCTGAAACTTTTGAGTTGAAATTTTTTTTGAGAGAAGCACAAACTTATCCGACAATCCTCCAATGTATTTTGTTGAGGCTAAATACCTTGGCATGCAATATTTACATATCGCATTTAGAAATATGTAGAACATAGATTTTCTACTTATAACTTTCGTAATGTTCGCCGCCACTTTGGTATCTTGGCAAATTTTTCGATTGATATTTTCTATTTGAAACTAAAGGTTGACCTTTTGTTTAATTACATCAAGATGTCCTTAGCATTGTGCTACAATTTTA